GGGGGGGAGAGAGAGAGAGAGAGAGAGAGAATCATCAATGTGAGAGAGACTCACTGATTGGTTGGCTCCCACATGCACGCCGACAGGAGCCAGGGATGGAACCTGCAACCAAGGTACGTGCCCTTGACTGGGAATGGAAACTGAGACCCTTCAGTGTGCGGATGAATGCTCTAACCACTGGGCCACACTGGTCAGGGCTATTGATTGTTTTCTTGACGGGGCTGATGAATCTCAGTGAATTGCCAGAAATGAGGGGCCACGTGGCAAAGATCTGTCAGAGACTAAAACAATCTGAAGCAAGGATTTTCACTTGACAATGAAGAAAAAACTTGGGAACACAGTCCAAGGAGAAAGAATCGTTTTCCACAGAGTCACTAAAGAGCACTAATGTTAGAGCCTGAGGGGACTGGAGAGAAGAATCTTGATCATGTCTTCATTTCACAGATAGACCCAGAGGTCACAAGCCAGAGACAATGAAACTGTCCCTCGGGGATGGGAAGGGGAAGAGTGGGAGGAAATTGGCTCCCAGTTGCCTCAGTGGCTTGGGAGGAGCATGCTTTGCTATAAATACAAATCACAAAGGAAAAGCTGTTTTGAGAGTAAGAACTAAAGGAGAGCTTGTGTCAGCAAGAGAGGTCAGGTTAAGACTGGGATACATTCCACTCAACCAGATCATTTATGAGGCCCTGCAAATATGTCCAAACCTATGGTCACTTTAATGATGTTTTGTATTAACAAGGCAACTGATGTCCTCAAGGAGATCACATCCTGGTGGGAGAGGCACGTAAATAAATAAGTATAATTTTAACTTGCATATTTTGTAACTCTGTGACTTCTACTCTAACAGAAAACCGAAAGGAGTGGGGTAAAAGTGCCAAGTAACAAAGACTCCTCAAACATCAAGTTTTGATTTCTTTGCTCAAACAGCATTTTGCTTAAAAGAGCAAATGCTCTAAAGAGTATATATTATTTCCCACGCTGTAAAATCACTGCGAAGTGATAAAGAGTAAGAGTTCCCCTTTGAAAAGGACTGTTTGAAGAGAGAGGCTGGCAGTTCTCTGATAAAGGGGAGGTGTTGATAAGGCAGCTATAAACCAAACCAAACCAAACCTGGTTTCCATGCGGGAGTAGCCTTGGGACCAGGGGAACTGCATATATGCATTTAATTTTTAAATAGCTTCTTGGTCAAAACTCAGGTGGTGAAGCTCTTTCAGGAATCCTAACCGGAGAAGGGGACAGATGCTGGTCACTGGTAAAAACTGGGCCCCTTGAGCATCCTGACCGAGGAGGAAATGTGTAGAGAACTGTGCCAGGTACTGTGAATGATACTGAAGAATATTTGGCCTCAAAGGTGTTTACATTCTAATGGGAGAGTTCTGGAGCGGTACCTGAAAAGCTGTTGGAACCTGCATGAATCCTAGGTCCAGAAGTCACTGAATCTATTCCCTTTTATAATTACTAAGGACCTGTAAGTAGAGGGAACATATGTCGGTTTGCCAAGGCCTGTCTTGGTTTATGCCTGTTGTCCTGATGTGCTTGTTACACTCCTTTCACTCTCAAGTGTCTCCATTGGGATAACGAGTTGTATTGTCACCCTGTCTGTCCACAGTCACTGCTCTCAGGAAGAACTGTCACCTCTTCAGAGACCACCCCCACCTCCCACCACTGCTGTCCCTCACTGCCACTCTAGGAATAAAACATCATAAATATCTGAAGGATACTTTCGTTTAAAAATAACCACCTGACCTGGGCCTTACCTGCTCCCAGGCCTGTGTGAGAAGCTCCAGTGTGTAAACTCAAGACCTCACTTATTCCGCATGCAGCCCACAATCACCCTCTTAGTTCATTTCCTTGCCTAGTGGGTGGTGAACATCTATCTCCCTGATTAGACGGTAAATACCTTTGAGGCCAAATATATTTCTGTATCACCACAGTACCTGGACCTGGGCATATAGTGCAATCCCTGCAGCAAAAGAAGAAATAACCTCCACCAGGGAACCCTCGACTTCCCTGTTCAACAGTCAGTAGCTGGGACATCGCACAAGGGCAGGGTGGAGGGTGCAGGAGGTGCAGGTGCCCTGGGTATGTGGGAAGTGGGCCAGCCTCACAGGTGCAGCTGTCACCTGTGGGTGGCAGGAAGCAGGGTGATAGTCACAATACCATGGGCTCAGTTTTCATCATAAACGGAGGGATCTTATTACGTTAGCAGAAGGGATTAAGGCTCTAGGCTGGAAATGTTTGTGGACACAAATCGCGAGATCCTGGAGCCTCCTGAGATGGCTGGTTCTGGCCTAAGAGTGAGATGGCTGAGCCTACTGGCTGCGACTCACGTTTTCCTTTCCCAGAGGAGAGATGGTGTTTCCACATCACCAAAGCCACTCCTCCAAAGAACTAGCTGTATTTTAAGTCAGGGGTCACCCGGCTCAGTTTAACAAGGCTCAAACCTCCTATTCCACATTAGATGTGAGCTGCAACGTGCAAACGCACCTGGGGACTTAAGTCCTCAATGGGATTTAATGACTGATGGAGGGTGAGAGGTCAGGGTATCCAGAGAGGAATGGAGGGCACCAGGTGATTAGAGTGAGCAGAAAACCTTCACTGAGGGCTTTACTATGTGTCAGGCATGTGACCTGTACTGTCTTACCTAAGTTTCTAAAGAACCCTATAAAAATGTGAGAGGTAATAAAGCATTTGCTTCATGTAGCAATAGAGAAAACAAAGCTTGAGGGGATGAAAATAATTTGCTGAAATCACACAGGTAGCAACATAGTTGCTCCAAGATTCAAATCCAAATCTATGTGACTGCAGAGAGTGCTCTTTTCCTTAATTACAAAGAAAAAAGAAGAAGAAGAAGAAAAAAGAGCGACACGCACATAGTTTAAGAATTAAATAGCACTGTAAGGCTTTTAAATGAAGGAAGCTGTTCATCCCACTTCTGTCCTCGTGTTTGCCCCAGCTCTCCACACTTTTAACTCTTGTAGCTGTTTCTTATCCTCTTATTTCTAAACTAAATGCTTATACTGCTATCTTTGCTTAATTTTATACGTTATTTAGTGATTTCCTATTGTGCTAGATGAGAATTAAGCTCTTTCCCATTGTCACAATTTCTGGTTAAATCAGTATTCAGTGCTCACATTACTTTGTCATAAGATAATTTTGATGACTCAAGTAATATGCTATCATCAAATTCTTGAATAAATTTTTGTTTTTCCTGGAATTAACTGCCTCCCTGACCATTTGCTTCTTTTTCTTAGTTTCTCTTTGTAGGTCTTTTCTGGCCTTCCAACAGGGAAATGGATCAGATGATATAATTTCCATTATGCTCCTGTTAGCCTTCAGCTCCAGTCTGGACTAGTTGGCTCTCCAGGCCTGGGAATTCCCTTCGCCTCTCCTTCCTGGATCCTGTGCCTTCATTTCTTTCTTTTCATGCTCCTGTTTGGGTGGAACATTTTCTCTAGTAACTTCCTGAAGAAGGATGTATAGGGGGTAAATTATTTTGAGACCTTGGATGCCTAAAACTATTCTTATTGTACATTTGATCAGTAATTTGATTGGATATAGAATTCTAGATTGGCAGCAATTTTTACTTAGTATTTTGAAGGCACTGCTCCTTTGTCTTCCAGCTTGCAGTGTCGTCATTGGCAAGTCAAATGTTATTCGTATGGAATCTTTTCTTTCTATTTTTTTGGTAGTCTTAAATGTCATCCTGGTGTAGTTTTTATTGGGTACTCTATTGGCCTTTTCAATCTGTCCTTCAGTCCTTGGAAGTTTTTTGGTATTATTTCTTTGATAAGTTCCTCCTCTATATTTTCTGTA